CTAGTCATGATCAAGAACTTAAAGTAGATCAAGGAAGCTGAGGGATGTTCTCCCACAGACTTCTACACAACCAAACTTTTCTGAAAACCAGAAGAACTGCCCCCTGCTGTTCATTAAAATTAATACAGGTTTAAGGTACATCCCTCTAATTTTTACAGTCTATGTTCTAAACGTTGTCATCTTTTCTGTCTCGCCCTCCCAGCAAGGTTGTTAGAGCAAATGCAAGGAAGAGGAATCCTGGAGAAGATTGTTCACACTCAGCTGATAGACTATCTAAATGATTTTCAAATTCCAGAAGCTCTTCAGTTCGACTTTAAGCCGTTTCACAGCACAGAGACAGCTCTCATAAAGGTTAAACATGTATTTCTTGTTTTGTTGGATATGACTGCTGATTTGACACAGTGGAACATGACCTGCTGATCTCTCGACTACAGCATTGTGTAGGAATTTCCGGCATTTTGTGGATAAAATCATATCTCTCTAACAGGAGCTTTTGTGTTAAGTTGAGTTCGGCTTCATCCTCTGCCATGGGGTTTAGCGCAGGGATCTATTCTTGGGCCACTAATGTTTCCATGTTTTCCTGCCACTGGGTGCGATCTTCCGAAAACAAAAAATTTCATTTCATCTATATGCTGACGATTGCCAGCTTTATCTACCTTTTCAATCACTCTGATAGCTCCTCGGTTAGACTCCTGTTTGATTGTCTTAGTGATGTTAAGTCATAGATGGCTCTAATTTTTTTTTAATTTTAATAAACGTAAAGTGGAAGCAATTACATTGGGTTCCTCTGGTACCCCAGATGTTGACCTTGCTGCTCTGACTAATCATTTGAAGAGCTCGGTTACTAATCTTGGGGTAAAAATCGACTCTGCACTTAGTTTTGATGGCCACGTAAATGAGGTGGTGAAATCTTCATCCTATCCCCTCAGACGTCTGTCAAAGGTTAAGCCTTGTTTTTCCAGGCCTGACTTGGAAACTGTCATCTATGCTTTTATAACCTCACGCTTGGATTACTGCAACTACCTTTCAATAGAGGTTGGCCAGGGCCGTCTGTCCCTCCTGCAACTGGTGCAGAATGCTGTGGCATGGTTTTTAACTGGTAAAAGAACATTTGAGCACATTACTTTGCTTCTGGCCTCCTTAAACTGGCTTCCAATTGAATTTAGGATCTATTTTAAAATCCTTTTACTGGTTTTTAATTTGTTTTTACTCATTTTTAATTAATTTTTATTAGCTGGCCTTTGACTCAGTGGGTAAGTGACAAGTTATTTTATTGTTATTTATTTATTGTATTTATTATTCTTATTGTATTTTTTATATTCCTGCTGTACAGCAGGGCCATGTGTTGTTTTTAAGGTGCTATATAAATAAATTATGGTATATTATGGTATGCTAAGAAAGAGACACAAGGACGGATGAGCTGAAGCTCGCTCACCTGCTTCATCAGCTCTTCAGCCTCCCTGCCCGAATTCAAATTGGCCCAGATTGCCTCTTCACCTGCATTAACCCGCAGTCTGCCTGACAATCTCCAACCAAAGTCAGCCTCACCAGCTCCAGCATCATCATTACCTCTACAGTAATAAATGTGGTTCTGCTTGTGGGTTCAGCATTTGGACATAATTTGAATTCACTGCTTCAACACAGTTGCCTTAAGCCTGTGTTGTTTGTCTGTTTTTCAATCATGTTTCCATCCAGCCTCCCGCCTCTGAGGGGACATTTGCTCTCACTTAATTTGCCTCTGTGCAAACACCCATTTTAGGCTTGACCTCAGCAATGTTCTGGTCACAATGACCTGGGTCACAAGTCTTACCAGGACAACTTCCACTTACCATAAATGTAAGTGGCTGTTATGCACCACATGCCTTTTTTTCCTGTACCATGAGTAAAGGACATTTGTTTTTGTTTTGAACGCAGACGCTTTCCTAACTGTGTTCTGAACGTTTTCCTGTTTGTCCTGTTTCCTCCCTTCAGATTTTTTTTTTATTTATTTTTTGACAGCTTGTTTTGAATTACATCCACAGCAATGCAGATTTTTTTCAACGACAAGATCTGTATCATTCTTTCCCTTGTGTGACAGAAGATATAGAGGGGAAAGTTAGAGTTTAAGTAACAAACAAAGACAGAAAATTCTCCAAAGTTTCAATGTTTTTTTGTTGTTGAAATGTCTTATCTCACCGTGTTTTTGTACTGCACCCCTCTAGGCTCTCCCAGGAGCAGGCCCTCTGTTCCACAGGAAATGACTGGGAACACTAAAAGGAAATGGCTCCCATTGGACTCAGCCTGGCAAGTCAGGTCACGCAGAGTCACGGCAGCCACCGGGACAGACAAGCTCTGAAAGAGAGCACTGATGTGAGGCACTACAGAATATCACAGTGTGAACAGCTGCTTTAGGTTTGTCGCTGCTTCTAATTTAGATTTTAAGTTAAGACCTGCAGAATGCTTCTGTCCACCGTCACGCTGAGGCGTCCGCCCTCACAGTTCACTGTGAAACCCTCCCGGCCTTCTCCTGCTCTGCTGCCACCATTCAGCCACTGCCTCAACCTGCGCTCCTCTGCCTCAGGAGGCCTTGCAACCAGTGGATTCGTCACTGCAAACTTACCTGTGATACAGAGAGGAGATCAAGAGATACAACCATTCACTCAAACATCAAAATCCTTCATTCAGCTGAAAATACTATGTGTAATAAATACTATGAGTAAATACTATGGAATAATTTAAATGAAAAAAGACCAAACAAATGATATATACTTTCTTTTGAGTGAAAAAACGAAATTCAAATGTTCAGTTTATACAGCCCATTCTCACTCATGAGGTGTAACATCCTGACGATTTGTCACGTCCTGCGGCGTTCCTGAGGAACGCGAAACTTGACCTTCTGCGTTCTTATGCTACGCGCCGGGTTATGGGTGAAATCCAGTAGAATTACGGTCCCGTGGTACTACACGTTCCAGCCATGTATTCCAGCCCTAGCCATAACCTTATCCCTAACCTTAACCAGCACTTTAATGGTGTTAAATAGTGCTTGCCAAAGCGATTTAAGCAAAATGAACGAACATGTGTAGATTGATTCCAAACGGTTCTCATGTTTCCTCATTTTTTCCGATCTTGTCATTTAGGGACGTGTTGGGTGCCCGGAAGCGTAACATGTTGACGATTTGTCACGTAGCGTAAATTATTACGCTTTGGAAGTGAGAACGTGTTGGTTCAGACACAGAAGAGTCCCGACCTGCTTCTCCCTCAGCCAGCTGGATCACAAAGTGATTGGCCAGGTCGGCCTCAGTGTATGAGGTCACCGTGGTGAAGCCACTCTCACGGGCCCAAAGGAGAAGGTCCGAGATGCTAGACAGGTCAGGGTCGAGTGTGCTGGCCACTGTTAGGCCAGGCTCAGGTGGGTAGGGTGGAGACACGCTGTTGGAGGACTGTGTAGACAGCAAGATGAAGCATAATACAAGTAAAGATCAAGTAGAGTCAAGGACACTGTGGCACAGAGCAATATAATAAAGTGTTTTAGACTATGGCCAGTAACGCTAGGACCAGTTCTTTTTGGATTTGGTCACAATGAGAATGATTTGTAGCCTTAGATTCCTGTTAGCTGTGTGTTAAAAAAACAAAACAAATTCCACCACGATGGTGATGTAAAAGACAGCTGATGCCCTTACATGAACAGAGATGCGACCCTGGACGCCATGAGCAGTAATGGCCCAGTTGACGGGCACAGAGCTGCTGAGAATCAACACAATCTTGTGCGCTCTTGAGTCGGCCACTGGAGGCACAAGCGATACAGTCACCTCTACCTGCATGGAGCTGAAGAAGAGTGGACAGAGAAAACAACGTTTAACCCAAACGGCATCATCTGGGGCCAAATAATTGAAGTAGTACAGAAAAAAAACCCTGCAGTTCCCTGAATCACCACAGGGGGCGACTCTAGAGTTGCTCTATTTCAAATTATCCAACTTTAAACTAGTTTCAGTACCCCTCATAACTACTCTATGATGGGTGAATACATTTTAAACTGAGCTTTTTATACTGAATTAAGGCTTAAGCTTTATATTGTTAGGGGCATTTCAGGGGGTTTAGCCCCCCCCCCCTAATAATCAGACCCAACCAATATAAGCCCCCCAATAAAATTATGAATTATCTTGCATAAATAGGCTGTTGATTTTCTTTACTCA